CCCCCCCCCTCCTAAATTCAATTTCTCTCCTGGAGAACGTCTTCGTGAGCCTCTCATGATTTCAGGATAGTTGAAACCCTCTTGAACATTCAGAAAGAGTGCATATGAAATTCTAATCACGAAAGGTGTTCCCCGAGGGGGTACATACCTAGAGTTTGTTTTGTGAAGCACGTCAATTCTCTCCTCAAGAGCGTCTTCGTGAGCCTCTTATGGTTTCAGGATAGTTGAAATCCTATGATGTTCCGATTCAATGCTCACCGATGATCTGAGCCATGGGGCAAGTTTGTTTTCCTAAGAATCTTTGTGAACATTTCGAGGGCATATGTTTGAACATTTAGAGTGCATATGAAATTATATTTACGGAAGGTCGCCTCCGAGGGGATAAATCACCATGTCAAACATTGCGTTTTTGTTCCTGCCTCTCGCGTTCTTTTCTCTTCCCGCTGTCCTACCTTTCGTGTCTCCCTCCTCTCAAGTCGAAATGACCAAATGCATAAAAATCATAAAATGCGTAAAATGTAAAAGCATAACAGAAAAAATAAAGGCAGCAACAGAAGGGAGGACCCCTCACCAAGAACCATAAATTTGTCACTGTCATTTCCACATATTTCCATATTGTGTTATGTTTAATTTTAGCTTGTTTATATGCTTCGTGACATGAATGAACAATTTATGAACTGTCTTTATTGACAGCACATGAACATAATAATGTGGCTGTTAGCGTGATTTCAAGATTGTATATATTATATAAGGAAGTAGTTTGTTTAATGACATTTTATGGCATAATTTATGTATGCAATCATGATTTCATATTACAAAACGTATCTATCTTGAGGTGGCTTTTCTTGTAGGATCTCAACGCTACACAGCTGGGCTGACCCAGCACTGCTAGACCGGCCTCCACAGTGGGACGCAAATGATTGTAAATACCTATACAGGCTTGCAGGAGGTGAAAGAAGACATCTTATGAAGATTGAAGGACATGAAAGTCATGAGATGCGCATGTTTGTAGTTTTGGTGCGCATGTGTGTGTAGTGTTCATGTATATTGGAAGAGGCTAAGTGAAGGCTAGAGCAGCCACACTGCAATTTGTTATGGAATTGGATAGCCTGAACAACACACCCACCAGAAGCTCACCGGAAAAGAGTGGATGTTTGTTCGCATGATCACTCTCATCCTGCTGTTGGGATTTTGCAACATCCTGGCTTCCGTTGGCTTTGGAAGCCTTTGTTTTGATACCTTGGGGCACCACTCCCAGCACAAGCACGTACGTCTAGGCGTCTTCTTTGCTCGTAGCGACTCCGCATGGTTGAGAAGCTTCTGGGCAGACACGTGGGACGGATCACATCCTCGTTTTCATCAGGCACGATGGCAGGAGTATTGTCGACAGTCAATTAGGGCACAGCCTGGGTGCCCTCAGTTAACGACACCCGGATCGACCCCTCGAGCGGAAAACAAGCTCCAGCCCTATGGGAATCCACATGTCTCATAGCAGCTGAAACGGTTTGGTGAAGATGGTCACAAGAAGGGGCCGCCATTTGGGTGACCAAAAAGTCAGAACGAAGTGAGCCTGGAGACATCGTCCAGATTTAGACCTCTCCAGCCGCTAGCGGGACTCCAGGCGCCCTTTTGGGATCAGAGCGGGATATGCCAAGAGCTGGCCAAGCGACGAGAATTCCTGCCACAGGCCGGCGCAAGGGACGGACCCGCGAACTGGAAGATTGAGCACAAGACATTGAGACTGCCAAGGGGGAACAAGACAGACTTCAGAAAAGCATCATTCTGTGTGAGGAGGACGGTCAAACCTCGAAAGACTTGCGGCCAATAACAGCTGCAAAGATCACAGATCCCCGAGTTCCATATGGTCCATATCGTGGTCCATACCCGCCACCTCGTGGTTGCTTTTGTTTGGTCGGTGGTTCAACAATGTTCAACATACCTTTATTTAGGTCGGTGAACCACATAAACCGGGCAAAAAACGTCTTTGGCTCACCAATAAACGCCCTTAGCTTGTGTATGAACGCCCGTGGAATATCAGAAAAACACATATTTAAAAAATCAGAAAACTAGAGGAGAAACATCCGCAGACTCAAATATAAGGCTACGACTCCAAAAGGTGTTTTTCACGCCGCAGATCGAAAGAAAACAACACTGAGGAAGTTCCAGGTATCTATTTCAGGTGGAGTTTTCGAATTGTCATTGGGTGTCATAGAATGTAGGATCCTATGGCGCAAACACCACCCAGTTCGTTAGCAGAGTGATGAGATGAAAACAAGAATCCGCTGGAAATTCTGTCCCTACAGTTTTGTTTGTTTTTTTGGGACCAGGTGCTTGGTGCTATGGCTACAGGAGTCACTTCTGGACCATGGTTCAGCTGGAAGGGTGGGCCTTTCCTGAAGGAGACGCCTCATTTAGGGATTTGGGACACAGTGACCTGTCTCAAGTGAGGCATAGAGTATGATGAGTTCCATGCATAGGATTTGGGCTATTGAAGCATCACCAGCAGCGGAAACCCAGTGGCCCAGTGCAGCAATTGTTCTACGATGCGCCACTGAGGCATCGTTGCAGTTTGCCAATCCGCTGCATGCGCGCCTCGGTCATCCAACCCTTTCCATAGGCACGTCGCTGTTGATTCTTCTCCTGTAGGTTTTTGCCACCAACGTCCCAGGTACGTAGTCAAGTTTTGTGAAGAGAGCGGGCCTGTTTATGATCTTCAGTGAAGTGAGTTCGATAGGTTGTGAGCCCCCCAGTCCACAGTCTATGCGACTATTCACTGTCAGGAACGTGAAAAAGGCCATGGGCAAAGGAACAGGAGGTCATGATCTTGCCGAAATGAGGCAGTTTATCCTCCACCTGTGCGGTTATTCTGCCAAGCTCAAGCTTTGCAGGCTCGGGTTTTGCTCCAGCCTTGTCAAGAAATCTTTGCTGATTTATGTCATGTGACCAGGGTCACTGTCACTCGAGTCAATCACCTTCAGTCCTCCAGTCATGTAGGCATATAACAGACACCCACTCCAAGTGCCACCCCAGGTCAGACCCGAAAGTCTGACTTTTGGGGTTGCGGGCCTGGCAAGGGCGTTGGCGTAGGAACTTATGCAGAAGTGGAGTTCTTCGAAACCTTCAGCTGGATGGCTCTCATCAGTCAGGTGCCATGACGACCTTGCGACTTGGATTCGCAACGGCATTCATGGGACTGAACAGGGGTTTGGATTCTTCAGTTGGGTGGTGTGGCCACGTACAAACAACTTGGCGCTTTGTCAAAGAATGGCGCTGGTAGGTCCCGGGAGTGTCCGTTGCTTGGTGGACGTGTTGGGCTTGAGCGCTGTGGACGTCACAAAGGTCATCACATCCCATGTGGACGTCCGCTCGGGAGCTGTTGCAAAACATTGAGATCAAAGCCTGGGCTTGGGGACCATGCGGCGAGAAGCCCAGCCCTAGAATCTTGGCAGATGAGCCCAAGTTAGATCTGCAAGAGTGTTTTGGCAGAACTAGCAGCTGCACTAGCCTCAGTGAAGAACATTGGGTTTGGTGTTTGCAGGTTTTGCAACACTTGCAACTTGCAACCATTCCGTGTGGAAAAAAACATGTGCACCTTTTAGAGGGCCAGGGAGCCTTAAATCTGGGCCAAGGAGGGTGCTTGCCTGTGATCTCACGTCCAACACCTGCAGCTCTTCGTTGGTTTCAACTCAGAGCCCGACACGGAGATGCGGAGATCCTTGGATTGCTTCAGACTTCCGTCCTGGTCGATTGTGTCACAGCTGGCAGAGGAAGCAGATGAAACCACAGCCAAGGGATCAAAGCATGTAATGTTGCAGGTTCGGAACACGAGAGATCCGCTGATTGATGCCCATTGATCCGTAGAGAGGCATGCAGTTCTTTTGGTGATTTTGAATCGGTGTTTTAGAGTCCCACTCTCCCAGCAGCACCCAAGGGTGGTTGTGGAAAGCATCGCGAATGAAGGAATAGGAGGACGCTCCTGGGTTGGATCAGGTGGAAGATGTAGGATTAAGAGCTGAACTTCCAGCGATTCCAAGGTGGTTCAGTCTTTTTGTTCGACGGATTTCTTGATGGGCGCATTGTGCATTTCAATGCCTATTGCATTCTGCTTCTCAGTAGGGAAATGGTTGCAACGGACTTGATTCTGAGCTGTGACAAGTTTCTGAGCACAAATGTCAACGGATACTGAGACTGAGCGTCCGTGTGAGCGTTGTTTCAGGGGGTGCTTCTCGAGGCTAGGGATCATCGGATCATTTGGCTCCCGGCCAATGCCATCCATCGAACACATGCGGAGCTCATGATAGGCCCTGTAGTGGACTTATACGTTAAAGTATCGCCAAGTTGCTTTAAGGACAGGCAACGACGGGCAGCGGGCACTGCAAGGAACACACCATGAGATTAGAGATGCATAATATATAGACTCTTGGCTCTTGGCTGTGTTTAACAAACAGAGTTGGCTCATTGCGTTCACGATTTGCTTACCAAGGTCGCTTTCGAGGGGAACTCTGGCAAGTGATCGACTACGTGCGTGGTTGGCCGCCGCCCTGCCATCCAGTGTAGCTGGACCGATAAGAGGTAGGAACTATCAAGATTCAATTTGATTTGATGTGTCTCAAAGACGGCATAGAGGTTCTTTATTACTGTTTTTGGTGGCAGATGCTCCCAAGTGATAGGGTTGAAATGCCAATAGTTACTTAGTTTGTGTCGCACTTTGGTTTGTTCGTAATTACGGTATATATTTGGTATAACTGACAAGCACTACCACACGATTGCCTGCAGGTCAATAGATCAGGTCCTCATATATAAGTGCGTTTGCTTTGACCTTCCCCTGCAGGCTCCATGGTGTGTTTTTGAACTCTTTTGCAGCACAGCTAGGGCAAGGGGCAATACAAAAAGACACAAGATGTGGATTCCTCCCCAGGGGGGCCTAGGCTTGGAAAGTTATGCAGACAGCAATTGTGGTGCACTCGCCAGACTCTCAGTGCAGTGATGGGGTCCAGACAGCAGATTCTTTTTGATAGATTCTTAATGATTCTTATCATGGCAGCTGTGATACCATGATGCAGCAGAGGTGTTATGGGTTAGGGGAGGTGCCACCTCTTCGAAGTTTTTTGTGGGTTGAGGACACTGAAGGTTTCAGCCAACAGAGTCTTGTGGACGTCTTTTTGCTGTATCTTGAGGCTGGACTTTGCCCGGTGAGAGCAGGCAGGGTGATGCCGTGGGATTCGCCAGTCTTGCCCGGCAAGTGATGCAAGCGTAACAGATTCACAACGTGTTCTGTTGAATCTCCAAGAAGGCCTTTACTCAAACTGCAGGTGTTGAAGGAGATATTGGAGTCGGTTTTGCGGCTACTTTTGGGCTTGGAGTGCCATTGCCCTGTCCGCTCATGACAATTCGGCCTTTGTGGATAGCTAATTCCAACATGATTCATGACGATGACCCTATTATAACAATACATAATTAAGTTATATAAGCGACTGGCCAATCATGGTGTGGATGATCGGCGATGCAAGGCCAGATGGGCAAGAGCTCCAGATCTTGCACTTGTATCCGCCAGGCAGGGTGAGGTCGCAGACCAAGAGATACCCTTTTGGTACATTTGGGTGCCACCCAGGATTCTGACATGCAATTTCAGTTCCAGAACGCAAGCCATGGCCATGCCCGTGCTGAAAAGTGTTTCACTTCCTACAAGAGAAATTCTAAAGGAAGCGAGATGAAGCGAGGCAGCTTGGTATAATCTGGACAAGCTAAAAGAAAAAAAACACCACAGACATCACGGACCAGTTCTGCTTGCCAGGTGCAAAGATCAGATGCTGCGCAGGCGACACAGTTCGCCGTCTTGCCGCAGGGATGGAGAGAAAATGTTCATGACCCTGTAGGTGGAGTAGCTGGGCTTTGTTGTGGGGTCTCCTTATGCATGTACACCGAAAACTTCAAGGGCGGTGTTATTTGTTCACCACCTGTGAACAACCGCACATGCTCGGGAAGAGTAGAGTCTGGTGGAGGCATTCAACATATACATACTCGTACATTGGTGCAAAGACTTGGCCTTCAAAAAAACTGTCTATAGAACAGTTTCTGGGACACCGATCTCGCAATGTTTTGGTTTGGTGTGATGTTTCTGCATTGCAGTGTTTTGGTGGTCATCCCACAGGCTCAATGGAGCTTCTCTTTTGGATCCTCTCGGGTGAGATGGACTGCTCTTTGGGCTCCTCGAGGCGGAGTTTGGCAGAAGGCACAGACCACGAACGTGGCAGTCCGATGCTGCGAACGTTTTGGGTTTGTGTTCGGGCCATCCCTTAGGCCCTGTGATGGGTTTGCTTGATTGGTCAGATGACAGATTTGTTTGGTCTGGGCTCAGCTTATTGCATGTGCCAGGCAACCATAATTCTTTACATGTTTGCCCTGGCACCCTGAGGAGGATGGAAACAAAATGAAACAAATTTCAACTGTGGTTTGATTCGACTGCAGTGGGAAACCAGCACCAGATCCGACTGGCGACTAGAACCCTTAGTAAACGATTGTGAAGGGATTGCTACGCGAGTCAGCCCTGCTGGCAATGATAGGGGTTGAATTGAGGATGACAACTCCATGACAAATTTACATCAACGTGCTAGACATTGTTTTTGTACTCCTAGATAGTCTATATAAAGCCCTAGATAGTAAAGGAGTATCCCTTTATAAAGCTGACTGACACCTGCGCTGCACAGAGGCGAAGCAGTTTGGATTCAGCCTGGTCACGAGATGCTCAGCCACTTGGGGAATTCGTGGATGCGTCGATAGGAGGGGCCAGATGCTTTTGCCTGCTGAAGAGCCTTGCTTCCGAGGGCAAGAAAGTATGGGATTGGGCTATCATGCTGCTACTGTATGTTTTTTGCCAATTCCTTTGGGCATGAGTTTAAAACGGAGAGTGCACGGCAATCACGTTTTGGCAAAAGATGCAAAAGGAGAGGTAGGCTAAGGTAGACCAATGGAGAGTTTTCCTTGCAAAAGCAGCAACGTATTCCATTAGGATGTGACCGCTCTAACCACCGTAGTCGAGCTTTCCGAGACCTCTATATTCTAAGACACATGTCAAATGAATTCAGACCCCGAAGCTGGTGGATGTCGAGCTTTGAGGTACGGTCCTGGCGCCCACCGCAGCCATTTGTCAGCTGCAGGGGCCCCATAGCCAGCTCGGTGGAGGACCAAAAGCCCTGGTAGATGAACATCAGTCAGTAGAGAAGTCTATGGAACCGATGTTTCCACGCCCAACAAGCCATAGCCAACTTGTACGGTGCACGGACGACTGGCAATGACTAGCAGCTTGTACGGTGTACGGCACGCATTTTCTGAGAAGAGGAAAGATGAAAGGTTGGTGCCTAGTTTCCATTCTTGTTCCAGGCTCGGGGCGTTGGCTGTCACTGAGGCCTTGGGGTGCAGATCCAGAGGTGCTGCACTTGGGGCCGCTCGGTATGACCGCGGGTAGATCACATCAGGCATCCAAGCGGTCCAGGTTGGAACACCGTCTTTGCATTCAACATCATACCGGATGACAATCGGAGTCCTCCAGATACTTACAAAAAGGGTAAAACAAAATTCTTCCAGATACTTAGAAAAAGGGTTATGAATGATCTTTGACTCTTCTGATTCTGATTCCCCTGCATTTCGACACGCTCCCCAATGGCCCAAGGTCCGCCTTGGGGAGCAAAGTTGTGCCGCCCTTGGGGTGGACCTGGTTTGGCCATCCCGAGACGCCTGGTTCAACAACTCTGACCGAGACGCGCCGGGGGGCGAAACATGGACCGTGGCCCAGTGGGTTCAACCAGCGAACTGAACTTCAACGGGCGGAAGGGTTTCAGAGTCGAAGATGTTCAGGCAAGCTCACATCCCCATCTTTTAGGAACGTTATTGTGCCATGCGTCATCAAACTCCACGCAAATGCGCATGAACCCAGAAATTGAGGGAGGCTTTCCCTTGCGCCAATCCAAAGGTCCCTTGGAAAGTTCCTGGCACCAACATAGGTCCACATGCATCTACTTTACACTTGACTCCGGGCAGACATATACAGACGACATTGACAACTTCAGGATGCTGATCAATTTGTCGAACCCAAGGTTTCTATAGATCAAGAATGAGTGACCAAAGCAATGAACATGTGATAGATATTGATATGAACCATGAATGTAATATGTGAATGGATCATGATTTATGATGTAGACAGGCGGTCGGAACATTGACACTTCGGGTTCACCCACACAATGATCCAGAAGGCTTCTGGCCCGATATTGTTCAGGAACTGGCTTGGAGCCCCTCCTGGACACATGCCAGTGGACCAGGCCTGGGCCGATAAAAGCTGAGCAATGCTATATAATGCTTTGCCAATGCAGACTGATTGTGTATTACCCCCATTTCCATTTTATATATACAGTATATAGTTATATATAATCTCACGCTCAGCTTTTTCATTCCAGCGTCACTACGGTTTTGGGACAATTGACCCCCCAAAAAGGATCCTATTTTGCAAGTGCAAGCTTGTGGAACTTTTTGGGTTCCAAGTTCAAGCTTTGGATTTGCAACATGCATCTCAAAGTACAATGGTTTCAGAGTAGTTGGCGCAGACCTCAAGATGTCCTTTAGATGGGGGGTCCATATAAACCACCTAACTTGGGGATGTGCCATCTCCAGGGTAGGTCTCAACGCCTTTTCTCTCCCACCGGCCCACCGCCAGGTGACCCTTGCCCAGGAAAAGGCGAAGATGGCCCACAAGGACGAGCCTCGTGGGCATCGGATGGAAGTGCCTGATCAGCTTGGGATGATTGATCACACGGACTCTTCTTCATATGAAGCCACCAAGCAGAAGATGGAAACACACCCAATGACGGATTTCATGAAGGTTGTCCAAGCATTGACGATTTGCAGTTCAACGGACTGGACTCCACCCGCGCCCGCCGTGCAGACCCTGCAGACCTGCTCCATGCGGGCCACAAAGATGGCCTCCACAAGACCTGTGAAGGCGCGGATGGGGGAGGACGGGGCCATGCGCGGACATTTTGGCTGGTGAAGCGGGGCCCCAAATGAGATCCAATGAGGGAGGAAACGAGAGCAAGGCTTGGACTTTTTTGGGAGTAATATAGTTGGCTTGAAAGAATTGAGGGATTTGGATGGCCTGGACATGCCTGGTCTTTTTCTGTGTTGGCCACGCCAACAGCAGTAAGAACACTTCTATCGGTGTAGGCGGTCATCATTTGGGGTACAAAACTTGTCATGCTATTTCAAGCAACCTCACATGTGACCTTCGCTAGTTCCAGGAATTTGGGGTTTTAACAATATCTGGCGGCATATCTGGTCGTTTTGAGGAAAGTACTCGTGCGTGATCATGTTGCGCGGTGACCAAGCATGATTCGGGTGCTCTCCAGGTCAGTTGCTATTTGCAGCGCTGGCCTTGCGGCCGTCGGATCGACCTTTGCGAAGTCGATTGAGAAAAGGATGGTTGATTTGGAGATTGGAAGGTGTTTGTCCATTAGTCTTCAACCATTTTTTTCTATCAAGATGTGTGAGCCTTCAGTCCAGAAAACGTGCAGTCCTGAAGATGTTTGACCAAAATTGAAGACGAGTGGGGTGTCCAGGCTCAAAGTGCAAGAAATATTATGTTGGTAAAACCTGGGTGTGTTGGAAGTACGTGCTTGCCCGTCGGGGATCTTGAGATTGAATGAGCATAGCTCCAGAAGCTGTTCTTTGTTCAACACGTAAGATGCACGGCGACTTGTCGCACCAAAAGAGCCAAAGATGAGTTGATAGATTTGCTTCTGAAAGGGCACTTTGGAGGTTCAACGGTTCCTGTCAGCAGGTAAAGCTAGACCAAGGATAAACCCAAGCAAACCTTTCCAATTACTTGCCATAGGCTCTAGCATGTGGTATGTGCCGTGCATGAAGCGATGCATGTGGTGAGGATGTTGGGCATTCCATTTGGAAAATTGGATTCTTGGGGACTTTGAGTATGCTTACCCATGAACGAGTCATGTGAGCTTGTGTCCTGAAGTTTGCACATGTGCCAGCACAGGTGATTCCACATGCTGAGATTGCCTTGGATGCTGCGGACGTCAGTGTCAGAAGCTTGGGCTGGAGCTGATGCCGTGCCGAGATACGCCGGGGAAATGTTGCCGGGCCCGTGGCCAATTCCCTGGAACTCATTCACTGTTCTAATCTAGTTGTATTTTGTGCAAATGGGGTATATCATATCCGGGTATACCAAAGACACGCGCACGAGGGGGGAGAGCCGTGGTCAGAGCACCACCACAGTGGGCGATGAGAATCAAAGTTCTCCTCAGCCTCCTCAGATTCTGAACCGGGCTCAAAGCGCTTGCTCCTAGTAGCGATGCCAGGAGCCCCTAGTAGCTTCTTGTTCCTAGTAGTAAGGCCAGGAGCCCCTAGTAGCGTCCTTGCTCCTAGTAGCGGCATAGTCCCAATTTGTGCTTTATAGCGCCCTATAGGGTTTCAATACCTCACACTACCAAGAAGTGAACATTATCGGTGTTGAGAACTCGATACTGAGGGAAGGAACACTGTACAATCGGTGATATGACCTGCACATACCTGCCCTGTATTGGACTATTACTATTACTATTGGATTTATTAGTGTACAATATAACCTTAATAACAATAGTGATAGCAACTTAGTAATAGTAATGCAAAAAAAGGATAACATAGCTTTTGTATATTATATATATATATATGACTATAGTGGAAGTCAGAGTGCCCACATGACCGAAACTTGCCCGAACCACACTGGCCACTCGGAACTCGCTGGCCTTTCGGACTGTGTCCGCACCTGTCAGGTGGATGACGGGTGGCTGGATCCACTGGTGGACAGCTTAGGGTACTGTAGGTGTTCGTCACGTTCGTTGGGGCTAAACGGCTAAATGAGGCTCAGTAATATGCTGCTGCATGTAGCGGCCCAGTAGTTTCGTGGTCCATTCAGCTAGCGACTAGTAAATATTGTAGATTGTTAGCATTGAGAGGTTTGCTAAGATCGCCTCATAGCAATTGACATCTTCAAGTTTAGGAACTGTGGCAACGCTTTTGGACCCCCGGAAAGACAAGACTTTTGCGGGATGCGATCTTGCGGCAGACACGACATGCTCAGGGCAACAGTTTTGAATGACAACCCACAGCTGGTCCCGCATTCGGAGCAGACACTCTTTGGGCTCAAGTTTCGACCCTGATCCATTTTTGGACTGCTGGTTCTTGAGGATGCCAAGCCAGAACCCATTCCCATGGCTGCCTCGACGATGGGTGAATTTGCTGTTCCCCTGGGTGCGTTGGAGCTTGATGTGGTTCTACTCAGTGACACATGCTTTGCGCTTTCCGTTGCGCTTGGCGTTGGGTGCGCCCTCCGCCGACCCAGCCCAAGCTCTTGCTTGTGGCTGGTGCCACAGCGTTAACATTGGCCGTGGACTTCCAAAACGGAACGTGAAGGAGGCCTTGGTGACTCCAATGGGTTTGCTGGGAGATTCGCAGACTGCTCCCTACATTGCAGTTTGGGGAGGCCACGCGGGCTTCAACAAAGCTGTGATGTTGTGGAGCAACGAGGTGATCCAATCCATCAATGACACTGGTGCATCCTTCTTCCCTGGGGCTAGCGGTGAGCAGATCACCTTGCGTGGCGTGGATTGGAGCCTCGTGAAGACGGGTGTGAGGCTGTCAGTGGGTGATCTTCTTCTAGAAGTGACCTACATGAAAGGACCGTGTAAAAATATGGACCGCTACTTTCCATCGCCCAGTGACAAGAGCAAGATTGATCCCAAAAAGAACCCTGACTCGGCACGAGTCTTTGCCAAGGTCTTGAAGCCGGGACGAGTGAGAGTGGATGATCCAGTACTTCTTTTCGAACATCCTGCAGGGAAGCAGCCTTTGCAGATTGCTTGTTAGGCTGCTCGGATGTTCTCGTTGTGATGTTTTGCGAGGGCAAAGCACCGCAGCTCCATGGCCGCAGAACAACTTTTGTGACCAAGTTCCAAGGCAACAACTTGCCTGGAAAAGCTGAGAATCAGGGGAAAACGTACAGCAAATCCCTGACGTCAGCCTGACAGCCTTTCTATGTACAGTAGATCTATCCTAGCTTCAAAGACAAAATAGACTGAAATCTATCACTTGCCCATCCATGGGCCTTCCAGGATATTGGGATTGCATGGGGGTGCCTGTTTGCTCTTTGGGCCAAGCAAGTGGGATATGGAAAGCACGCTGTTGGTCAAGGAACTTAGGGATCGTGGGCTTGGAGGTGAGTCATCCCTCGAACTCATATATAAACCATTATAAACCCTTGAATGTGCGTTCATGAATTGAAAGCAATCATATCTTGGGGCTTACCATGCCTTACCGTACTGCATGCGGCGATCCAAATCCATTTTGTCATTGAAGAAAAGCAAAGCATGATGCCACAATTGTTTGTTCATCGTTGTGTTTTTCTATAGTTGAGATACTATGAATGGTGGAGGATGGGAAAAGACATGATAATCTCACAAACAGCCGGGAAAAGAACAGGCTGATTGTGATTGATTATGTGTCCCAGCTTGCTGGTAGCAGCGCATTAGCACCTAACCATGTTGCATGGTGCATCGTTCCAAGGCGGAGTTCTTCTCTGAAACTTGGGCTTTGGGCCGACGACGAGGTCTGCTTGGCAGTTTTGCGAAGAAGCGTTGAATTCGATTGTATGTAACATACATATTGAACTAAGCCCTGCATAAAGATTGCAACATCATATCATGAATCATTGTCCTATCCCTTCCAGAAAGTGTGCAGTGTTCTTTTTCTGATACATCCCGTCTCCTCCTGGAGCCGGACTGCTCAGATGGCATCGCGCTTGGTCGCGATGCGGCCGTTTTGAGGTCAGCTTTGCGTAACTCAGCTGGAGGGAGTGTCACCCTGGAATCTGTCAGTCAGTTTGTCAGTTAGTTGGGAATTTGGCTGGCTTTTAGCACTTGCAAGAAGAAATGGGTTCAATTCGGCAACTATCATAGACTTCATGTGAATGGACTTTTTGGCTCCACGGTAGTTCAAAAATCCAGTTCATCAATTATAGGGCTACGATTCCAAGAGAAAAATCTCATTCACTTGCACTGGCCATCCTCAAAAGATTCAAATGATGAGACATCAGTCTCCGGGCGGGTTTAGCCCTACATCGATCTGATGGTGGACACCCGGACGCCGATCCTCAGGTGTTCTGGGAATTGCAACCACCCATCTCACTCAGTTTGAAGTCATTTCTCTCTTTGCAAGAGAGGGATGTGCTGGGCCTATGCCCCGTAGCCATCCGTAGCGATCTTCCTGTAGAGGCACATGAGTTGTGCATCGCTTTTTGTTGCGATGTTTTGTGGTGAAGGGCCTGATGTTTCTATGCATGCCTGATCAGTTCTTATAGTGATCAAGTGATTTCAATCACTTATGTAACAGCTTCGCACTTCCTTGACCCAAACAGACATACCTTGAGCCAGTGAACCAGATGTCCCTTCAGCAGCTAGTAAGGGTAAGTGCTTTGGGTCGGCTTGCTGACCTGCTAAAGCGCAAGGTTTGGCTGGCAAACCCATTGTGGAAGAGTACACTGTTGGGTGCTCATTTGATCAGACCAAACATTTTGCAAGGGCAGCAGAGAGGTTCGGACTCCTCTCTAAGCCTATAGCCTTGCCAGTCGCATGTGTTGGGTGATGCCGTGGGTTGTGCGGGGTTCCATTGTAGGCACATGGACAAGTGTTGCGGGACAGAGGTGCACTCACTAGACTAGAAAAGGAGGATCGGTAGGAAGGGGAACCTATGACACTATGAAAGTACGAACAAAAGTCCACACGATGCTGCTCCCAAGTGACCATGAAAAGAGATGCATGTTACATGTTTCAAAACCGGGGCACGAGTGCTGGCCCTAAATGGCAGAACCTCTCATTGCAAGCGTTTTCGCACGCCATGTTCCTCACCAAAACAGTGTCGCCATCGTCGATGAACTTTGAGGCTCCATCATGCCCTCGCATTGTGCCCTTGGGTTGTGATCCTTGCACATCTTCAATGCAGCAAAATGATCAGAAAGTACAGTGGCTTAGGGCCCGCCGCAACAGCAAAGTCGATTCGATGGGTTGTCTCGGATCTCCTTTCCACACACCAAGAACTTGGCATGAGCACGTGGTTTCTGCACTATGGTCAACAGCTGCGCCAGTGGAAAGACATTCGGAAGTTCCATGAGAGCACGTGCCTTTCCATGCCGAGTTCGGGTAGTCGCACCCAGGTACAGGTGGATGCCCTCCACGTCTCCCCGATACGTTTGGCCGCAGGGAGACCCGGAGGCTGAAGGAACAGCACCGAGACGGCCCTCAGTTTGCATTTTGCAAGCTGCAACATCTTCAAGTCTTCCCATAGCGCTAGCCGCACCCCACAAGATGTCGAGGTTTGGTGTTCGATGCGCTTGCAGAATGTGGTGACCTCAGCCTGGCACCACAATGGCCGGATTTGGCACCAATGGCCGGGTTCTCTTTGGCTGCTTGTAGGTGGAGGGTCCAGACCAGCTTCAATTGTGCAAGATTGTGCAGGTATAAATAGAATTTCCTGGAAAAACAGTTCACAAAACACAATGTCCAGGTGTTTGGTTAGGTTTCCGCACCTGGGTTTGGAGCTGTCACCCAGCTGAGGTCCGCTTCATGCCTAGCTATGCCCATGCTCTCAGTTCCGGCCAGATGGGCGTTGCCTCACCTGATGTGCGTCCGACGGATGTGCACTCCACATAGGGCTACCGTGTTAGGCCCCACCTCATTGAAGCCACTAATGGCAAGCATGTGTCGTCGTCACCGAGGAGGTCCCACCTCCAAAGATTCCTTACCAATTTGGTAAGATCCAACATAGCCACATAGCACAACAACGACAACAACAACAACAAGGTACAAACAAAAACTGCAGCCCCGTTACAACGTATCTTGTTCCTTTGTCTCTACAAGGGGGTGGAAACAAAATCTGCAGCCCCGTCGTTGTTTTTTTACCCCCCCCGAAAACAACCAGCCAACATGTACTTTTACCAGTAGTGGTAGTGCTTGTACTAGTGCTAGTACTAGTGACTAGTGGTACTAGTACTCGTACTACTAGTAGTAGTAGTAGTAGTGGTAGTGGTAGTGGTAGTGGTAGTGGTAGTGGTAGTAGTAGTAGTAGTAGTAGTAGTAGTTGTAGTAGTAGTAGTGGTAGTGGTAGTGGTAGTAGTAGTAGTAGTAACGGGTCAGCTAAGCCTCTGTAAAACGTCTAATGCGAAGACCGGATTAATAAACCCCGGGGATTTCTGGTAGAAAACTAGACCATAGGGGGGGGAAATCAACAACCAATACTACTTTTAATTTGGGCAATTTCCGGCGGCTTTGTGGGCTCGGGTTAACTAGGGAGGATTTATTAATCCTGACTTTGCATTACTTAGAACCTCTACCACATCCTAGAGACAAAAACTGCAGCCTCGTTGTTGTTTTTTTTGACTTGTCTCCAACACAATTTGCAGACCCGTTGTTGTTTTTGACCCCCCCCAGAACAACACCCCTAAAACATCAAAAAACAAGAAACAGACCAACCAAGACTTGAGTACCACAACGACAAGAGGTCCAGCTACGAACATCTCTCCAAACCTTCAACCCTATCCCTAACAGTGTCCCTTTGAAATCCCTGACTTGCAACGTGTGACAACTATGTTGGGCAGCTGTTTTTGCCTCTACCAACAACAACAACAACAGCAACAACCAGATACTGGCCAGATACGGACCATAACTCAACTCTCATATACCTATCTCACCTGTGCCTATTAGGTTCGAGCAGCCATCCGCCTTATCAGTTTGAGTGGGCGTTTCACCTTGGTGTGGAGGCCTGGAAACTGTGTGCATCGAAAGGGCCTGCTCCACTGCCTGAAGAGGGCGTCGCAGAACGGTGGAGGAACATGTTTGGCAAGACCGGTACCAGATGACTCACTGACATGGAAGTGGAAAACCATGGAAAACCAGCTGTTTGTAGAGGAAAAGGGTCTTCCCAGTGGCCCTTGTCATTGTCCATTTCCATGTTGGTAAGTCGGAGTGTAGTGTTTAGTGGTGGAACGCACCGAGGATGGAGCGAGCCTTTCGTTACCCAGGAGATCTTTGCCCGGAGGCCCAGATGGACCGAGCTGAGGAACTTGCTGGTGGCCTAGGCTGCAAGGCTACCGGCTAGACCGAAGGCTGTCAGGTCAAAAGGTCTATATATGTCTATATGCTGATGCTGAGGTTTCAAAGAGTCCAAGTGTATACCTGGATTCAGTTCGGGCCACTCTGTCGCTTCGAAACCGGCTCAGCAGGTTCGGGCCGCGTCGGCGTCACGTTTGCTCCGAGGCCTCCCTACCGGGGATCCTTGGGAGACTTGAGCCGCAGCCTTGCTGCGGAGTACACCGCTGGAGGGCTCAGTAGTTACGGGATGTTAAGGGCTAAGGGGGATGTAGGGTGGGTGGGCTTCATCCGCGAAGAATCATTACCACGAAGTTATAGCAAAAACTACTAGTGGCGACCGTGGTGACCACCTGCGTGGGGATCGGCTTTGAACATTTTGACCCTATTACGTCATCCATTGCTTGGCGCATGTCCCCTACGACCGCGCACCCACCTGCGTGGCGATGTCGTCTCCCAGTCCCGGGCCTCGGGTGGCCCATGGAAGTCAGGTGAACTTGCTTCGCAATTTGGGCACCGTGCTTGGAAAGAGCTCCGTCTTCAAACTGTGCATGCCCCAGCTGGACTGAGCTGCTGCAACAAGCATGAAAACACTTATTGCAGATAATGGTTGGTCAAGATGGGTCTACAGAAGCCTTGAGCAATTGCAAGGCATTAATAACATATCTTTTTCATTTCAGCTGAGTCAAGCCGTTTACGGAGGCAAGATATGGTGAGGACATGTCGAGG